TCTTTGTTGTCGATCAGATTAAGTTTTAGGCAACCACTAAAAGATTGGTATAATCATGATTTCAAGTCCATAACATCATAGAGTCTTTATTTGGTTTATTTGACGATTCGTTTACGATACAATATGTCTTTATTGTTAAATTTATATTTTTCCTTTCAAATAAATAAATAAATAAAGTCCATTACGCTACATCACGTGTTTTATTAACATATTAACCAAAGCGTCAATGACACGCGCCTATTTTGCGTCATGGAGGCCAATACTTTTATACCCTCCTGTAACAGAACCAAATATGCATGACTTCAATGATCGAAAATCATTCTGATACGTAATTTGTAAGAGCTGCATCAGATTTAATCAAAGTTTCTAATGGATTTATTTTTCGATATTCCATTATGAAAAGGAAGTGGTGAGCTATGTAGTTATTGGGAAGGAGAATTTTTGGAAAATTTTTCATGAATGTTCCAATAATTTCTTATTTGCAACATCAAGTTGATTCATATTTATTTATAAAAATTCATTGAAAAATTATTAATAATTAAAGCCGCTTACGCAAGAATGAACAATAAAATCCGTACCATAAAATTCTCAAAATATTACCAAGATAGATATTGCTGACTGAGTAAACAAGAATTTTTTAAAGAAAAATAGTATTTCAATTATAAATTTATCTGGCGCGGCAAGAATTTAATTAATTAATTCTCATGATGTTATTTTGTGGGTTTTTTTTTCTGTAGAACTAATAATTACAATTATCATGAAATTTGCGGCACCAATTACAAATTTCTTTGCATTTAATTTACGATCGCGGAAGTATTAATCGATGTTAATATCTATTAAAATAAAACCTTTATCTTACGAATTGAGGTTTTAAATATTATCTTTTAATAATATTGTTTAAAGTGAATAAATCATCAAACTTACACTTTAAATTTCTAAAATGACGAGGGTATTCATTAGAAAATTCTTAATCAAAATATAGTTATGTAAGTGAAAATGAAAAGAATTACATGGTCGTAGAGCAATTTTAACCGTAAGATCTGAAGTATTTGATTCTTGCTTTACAATGGAATGAGAGAAAGCTATGAAAATAAATTTCTTTTCAAGTATTCATTATTTTGGTATGAAAATTATATAGGAATATACTTATTTATACAGGAATTGTTAGAGAGGAATAGAAAAGCTCATGGTTCTAGTTAAACATTTATACTCCGCGTGGATATTTATCCAATGGAAATATATTAAACTTTCATTGTTGCGGACCTTCAAGATTTTATGAAGACGTTAGATGTAACTTAGAAAAGAATTGCAAGGACAATTATTCACCAGAAATGTTATTTAAAATCGTTGATTCAATATCAATGGCAGAAGAAAATATTTTATTAGTTGAAGCAGGTATCAGCTATTCTGTTAAACACTTTTAAATTTGTCTGCTAATTCTTTATCTCGTACTCATGCAAATGAAAACCTTTGTGCACCAAATATTTTCGTTGCAAGAAATATTTTGATTGTTGAATAATTAGAACTTTTGATAAAATTAATAAAATTATTGTTTTCAAGAGAATTTAACGTCAAATATTATTACATCATTGTTTAAACGTTTATCTCAGTTGAACGACTTTTAATATTTATCTTCATAAGTTTCGTGGACCTCGCATATTCCTTTTTAATGAATCAAAATTAAGTGGATTGCTATTTTAATTTGAAAATGATTTTTCATAGGCGTCAAAATGCCTAATATACATGTAAAAATAAGTTACAATCCTAAAGATTGGGAAGGTTTACCTGTTGATAAAGAACCAAAAATAAAAGATTTTTTCGGAAATATATCGATTCTATATTTATCACCTGAAAGGTGGGAAGCAGATTTTGAAGTGAAGTTTAACCCATCAAAAACTCTAGTTGGAGAAAAAATTTCAGCACAATGTAATTGCTTGGGAAGCTGCATGAAAACTAATGAGTTGTAAGAAAGGAATTATACATTACGATAATACAATAAAGCTTCAATCTACCAATAAAATTACACTTTATAATCACATTATAAACTTTTATACTGTATATAAACTTTTTTTTTGTTAAAATTTGAAGTTGCACGGCCTTATTAAAAAAAAAAAAATTTTTTCGTGATGACCTCCAATATTCTGTGTACAAAACTTTGTCAGATCAGATAGGTGTATTTAAATAATTTAAATAGAAATAAGATATATTCCTTTATGAAATTAAAAGCAACGGAATTTTATATTAAACGATTTTAGGTATAACTATGTTACAGAGAAAAAAAACGAGTTATAAACGTGCAATTTCTAATCATGTATAAATATAAAATAAAAATAGTGTTTTGTGAATAAAAAAAAAAAAAAGCTAACTCTAAAGAAAGTTTGTCAAGGCCTGAGCCAGGAAGATCTATGATAAGTTCTCCCAGAAGATTCGTACCAGGCGCATCACAATATTGTGCAATATATCCTGTAGTATAATATAGATAAAAAACTACTTTTGTTTGGGTAGGATAAAATGGTAAAAAGAACAAATTATTCATTACAAGTTATTTTAGTGCCAAAGCTTAACCAAACAATTAAATATATCAATTAACCGATCATGGACATTGGATCGCCTTCCGTCTAAAGTAAATGTAAAATATGAATTCGAGAGTATATTAAAATTTATGATATGATATTGATTAATTAAAAAAGAAATTTACCCAGAATCTTCAATATTTAAGACCTCTCGTAGTAATATCTGAATTCATAGAAGATAATCCATACATCACAGCTCCATGTTCTATTGCAATTGTAGGATCACTAGGAATTAAAATGATACGTACAATGTGTTGAAATTCTCGTTTAATTCTGTTTTGTAAATATTTTGATTCACTAAATCCTCCAACTAAAAACATAGCTGAACATGTTTCAAGAGAACTATCGAGTTGCGCATGAATCAATCGTAAAATCTTTTCAACAACAGGGTCAAACATTGAATTTATGTCATAAAAACCAAGTTCAATTTCCCAATATATCTCTTCCAAAATTTCTCTATCCTCATCAGTAATATATTGCTTTATCTTGGGAATAGTATAATCGAGATCCAACTAATAAGGTTTAAATTCTTTGGATTCTCCCGTAAAAAGCATTTTACATTCTCTAGTAAATCTTTGAATTAAGTATTGGATTTGTCCGCAATGGTTTGTTCGGAGCAACTCCATAGCACCATACCCAACTTTTCCACTTAAATATTGGATAAATTCCTTATCGATGTAAGTACTTCCACAGAAATCCTCAGATATTTCAGCGATTTACCTAATTGATTTCTATTAACCAATTTACGAGTAGTCAGAACTACCCTGTCACCACCACAGTCAACAACCATAAAATTTGCTGCAATTTATTTTATCATGAGTTTTAAATTAAAATATAAATCAACATAACTGGATGTAATTTATTTACTTACTTCCTGCTTCAAGATCATGATATTGAAGCTGTTCCATGCAATATATTGCAGCGGCTTCAGCTAGTAATCAACATATTAAATTAGAAATTAAGAAATCAAAAAAATTAAAAAATCACATCTAATATGAGTTGCGAATGTTCTCACGTTCTGTAATGAATTGTAATGCTGTTGAATTTTTATCTTAAATCAACCCTGCATTAAATAAATATACATTCCCTCATAATCGATCTTGCGCTTTCAGAATATTCTGCAGGAAACGTAGAAACTAATAATACGTGTTCAAAGAAATTAACTTTTGGCAATTTCATTACAACTGTCTCCATCATGACCTTAAAAATTTTATTCAAAAAATAATTTATTTAAAATTAATAATATAATTATAATGTTTGATTATTTTTAATCATACCTTTCCGATTTCTCTAAGATAATCAGTAATAGCCTTTTTATATCCAACTGGAAGCTTCGGTTTAAGATTATTCGGTAAATCACTCATATGCAATTTAAATAATTCAACCGGCGGCACTACAATCTTTTTCTTTCGACTTGGCATTTCTACTAAAGCTGGGGCGCCCCATTTTATATTCATCATCGTTTTTAAGAACCGTATTAGTTTTAAAGTTGCCACTAAGTTCTTGCCAATGACCATGTGCAAATATTTCTCGTGGATTTTTAATATGACAATAAGCGAATCCAGAATGAGTTGTTCCGGCTCAATCGCCGACATCATCAGGGTCACGCCTGCGCCGTGACGCCTGATGATATCTCTGATTTCGCGGTAAATAACTAATACTTATACTATTCTACTCCTGCATATTATATATATAGCAACTAGTTATTGTATAACACGTACGTGTAATACAGTAATTGATTTACTTATAGATAGGATCGATAAGTCTTTGTTCTTTCTTTGTTTTTATCTATCTACTATTCTTATAATAGTAAAGAAAAATCAGAGAAGTCTCACGTGTTAAAATACAATTTATTAAAACATTTTTCTTATCTATCTACTTTATTGCTAACAGATAAAGCTTTAAAAAATAAAGTTTAAAATTACACTCGTCAAAGTACTATTTACCGAATCTTTTGTTTACAATTATATCTTTTCAGCCGCCTATAGAAAACTTTATTAACGCAGAAGATATAATTTATAAAGAATATATTGTTAGAGAGGTAACTTGATAATTTAAAATAAAATTATGAATATTTATGTACAGTATAAAGTAAATAAGTTAATAATAAATATTTATTATTGTATTATATATCGACACAAGAAGATGCTGAGATATATCTTACAACGCATATATCTGTTAAGATAATAATTCATTCATTAGTTCCAATTGAATATCCACCAACATGTGAAGAATGTGTCACTATAATTTATCATATTGAAGGATGGGACAATAAATAAGCAGCATTTACAGATGTATGTACATTAAATTTAAAAATAATATATTCTCAGTTGAGTAAAATAATAATAATAACAGTTAAATTTAATTTTTGAAGATTCAATATCCTATGGGCAAGCCTGATGGTCAAAATGCTACAACTTGTCCTTATCTTAGTGGTAATGCCGTGAATAAAGATGAAGAACCTGTCAAGGCATAAAAATATGAGAATTTGCAAGTCTAGTACTTCAGGAGATGCAACACGAATCAATAGTTCCTGATTCAGATTTACGTTTAAAAGTAAATGCAAAATTGTCAACTAATAACGCGAAAAATAATACATTTATGTAAGTATTACTATTCGTGTAATATGTTATATACGATCATTTAATAATTAACTGTTGATTATTTTTAGTGAATATTTAGCAGCATATAAAACTAAATGTAAACATATAACACAATATAGATCGCAATGCATTAGAAAACCAGTATTAAAATGTTTAAAATTTTATGATAATACAACTACATCATCTTATTTTATAGGTTGTAGCGAATGGAAACCCTATAAAAAAAATTGTCCAGAAAATGTTATCGAAAATGTCCGAATGCATGTGGAAAATGTCCGGGAAATGTCAAAATCGTCTGGAAAGTGTACCAAAACATGGTGGATTTCGGACATTGCGTGATGTCTTGTTATTGTCCGGAATTTATACCGAAACATGGTGGATTCTGGACATTATCTGGATACTACGACAAATTCTGAACAAATTCCAGAATTTTTTTTTTCATAGGGTTGAATAAGGTAAATGAAAATAAGTCACAAATAAATGAGTACGAAGGTTATAAAAAAAAAAGCGCGTTCGCATTCTAAAAAAAAGAATAAAAATGTCAAGTTTTTAAAGAATAAATAAATTTTACGTTGATGCAATCGAGTCTAAAAATTTGATTGGGCATTCAAGTTCATCTATTTAACAATGAAAATTAGGAATCAGTCAACTGTATCAGAAAATTCATACATACTACGTGAATTTGTAATTTGTAAAAATATCAGAACAACTTTTGATTACTCGTAAGATGATCGATCGATCGGCACGTGCTTAAAAAATGCTAAGAGCGTGATACAATGCGATCTGCTGAGTAATTCTCTGCAATGCAATGTAATACAACTTGAACAATATAAAGTGATTTTTTTTTTCAATAAAAAAATTGCAGTTATCTTTAAGTTTAAATAAAGTCATGTCAAAGAATTATTCAATATATATTGTATTATGGTTTTTAATTCGATTGGTAATTGAAGTAAATTGCCAAAATACACCTTTCAAGCCATTAAAACGATATGCTCATACTGCTACACTTATTGATAATAAACTTTACATCTTAGGTGGTCGATTAGATTCAACTAGTAATAATGAAAATATTGGAGGACAATTTTTTTATCTTGACGTATCTGAACCATTTAATATAAAAAATATAGTATGGCATGATCTAACAGAAATCAATGTTATTCCAGCACATCGTGCCGCTACATCTGCTAGAGGTGGTGCATATAATGATACTTTGTTTTTATATGGAGCAAAAACTGATAGACCTATTGTTATGGAATTATTTTATACATTTGATACAAAAAGTAATTCATGGAGTATTCCAAAATTAGTTGAAAATGGAGATAATATCAAGACAAAACATAATGTAAAAGGCATCGTAGATGATAATGGAAAGATGTATTTGTTCGGTGGAAATCATAAAAATAGGACAACTTTTTATGATGATATGCTTATTTTAGATACAATTAATTTTAATTTGAACATGGGAAGTTTAGTTAATGCTCCTACTCAAAGAATTCTTTACGGCGCAACTTTCGTTCCAAATAATTTCATTATTTATTTTGGTAAATCATATTTAGTTAATAAACATTGCCTTATACATTGTTAATAAATGTTTATTGATAGGTGGCTCTATGGATGATGCTAATAATGCTTATCCATTAAAAGAGGTGATTTATTAATTAAATAATATACAAAATTATAAACATTTGAAAGTTAATAAATATATATCTACTAAAAAAACCTCAGGTCTACCTATATGATACGATTGATGATAATTGGAGTGTAAAGGCAAGTTTGATTGATGGAATTTATCTATTATTAAATAGTTAAAAACTTATTTATATAGATTTTACATTAGACAACTTTAGGTACAATTCCTTCGGATAGAAATGCTTTTTCTACTGTCCTCGGTAAGTAAACAAAATATGTATAGGAAGTTTTGAACTTTATTAACTAACAATGAAAATGATATTGTGATTAATTAAAGGGTTGGATGGACAACGAATAATAATTTTTGGAGGAGCAAATATAAATATTAATATTTTACTTCCATATGCACTTTATGTATTAAATTTGACAAATTTTGAATGGTCCATTCCAAAAACGTCTGGAAAAAAGCCTGCAGAGTCAAGACGTTGGCATGAGGCAAATGTAGTTGGAAATTACATGGTTATAACATTTGGTAAATATTAATTAAAAAAGTTTTAAATTGGTAAATTTTAAATCTATCTAATTTTAAATTAATAGGTATGGGTAAAAATGAGGATGAAATTGACAAAGATGATGAAATTTTATTGCTTGATATTAGTAATAACGAAGAATATATATGGACAAACGATTTTATACCTTCAACGAAACAATCAGCAAAACTATCAATACCAGTTATAATCGGTATAATTATAGGAACAGGAATCTTTCTATCAGTTGGAAGTTTCTTTTTATATAAGCGGAATATATCTAATAAAAAGAATAGATATGAAAGAGAAACACAATAGAAATGAAGGAAATAATAATTTAAATCAATAACACTTACCTAAGGGAGTAAGTAATAAAATAATTATTGATAATGTTTACTAAAGTGTTATGATGCATAAATAATATTTTATTAATACAATTTTATATCATCACATAAATATAAAAATACATTAAAGTCGTATTAATATTCTATAAAAAGAATAAAAATGTCAAGTCTTTTAAAAAAAATCATTAAGAATACATTACGATGAAGCGTTGACGACATTTGACCAAGTTCATTTGTATAACCTACGAAAAATAAACAAATTTTTCAGAAAATATCTGTAATTGTAAGAACAATGTAAATGCTCTATAAGACTCAATATATCGTAATTACGTTAAAATAAATAATAGAAATTTATAACTAGTTTTAATTTTAACAACTTTCATTTCACGTGTCAATTTTAGATTTCCTAATGACAAGCATTTTATTGGCTAAAAAAAAAAGCGTTTTTTTTTCTAATGGTGAATTTGTTAACTAGGTTTGGTATTTTAAATAGATAGTTACTAGCATTAAATAATTTTTTATTAACGCCGGCCGAAAATTATTTTAGATAGATCACGGAAATCCCATGGTTTATTTCTTGTGCGAAGCATTAACATCAATCAAACATTGTTATAATAGATTATTAAAAGAAATTTTATCATTGAGGCTGAGCAAAATATAAATATTATGTATTGATCTAGAACTAAAGATGATAAAGGTCTCGGTTATGACCGACTGGTTTGTTGAACGATCATGATCACTAGAGAAAGGAAGATGAATTGCTGAAGAAATTCCATAAGGTGGCGGGTGTTAGTGTTTGGTTTCGAATTTTTATATTTGGTTTGTTTTTGGTCAAGAATCATTTGAGATTTCATTGGTAAATCATTGCATAAGTTTATTTAAATTATTTAAATTCAATAAAAAAATAAAATTCTGAAAATAGAACATTGCACTAATTTTATGCTATAAAATTTCTTCAGCGCGAGGTCAATGAATTTTAAGATAAGTTCGTAATCTGATTATCCTGACATTCATCAATGAATGTGTGCCTAAAAACTGTCCTCGTTTTGGTTGCACGTACGAAAATATTTAAAGTCTATTAAAATATTACCCTGTCTTTTACCGATCCATTGAATCAAAACCATAAATAGTGCATCTCATCACGTTTGTGATAGAATTCTGAGTATTTCCTAGTACAAATGAACCTGCATTCTTCACTTGATAGGTAACCTTGATAATAGGAGCAGACTGACTGGCAATCCAGCTTATTTCTATAATAATCACTTAAACAACGCTAGCCAATTTTGGAATTTAATCAACTTGCATTACTGAAAAAATTCATATTGCAACTGAAGATTTCTTTCTGAAAGTATTTACATTTTGTAATTTTCTTTATAAATTTTCGAAATTAGAAGGTAAAGTTTCAAAATTTTATTTTAGGGACATTTAAACGATGACTCGAAGAACTCGAAAAGTTCGTTTCGAAGTATATCCGTGCTTGCTATGTCGTGCTTAAACGTTCTTCTTCCGTCTTCAGTACTTCCATATTTCTGTCCCTTCAACAGCTATACCTATTACTCTTCACCTTCTTCTATGTCTTGGCCGGCAATTAAATATCTTGGCAATTTTGGAGAAACTGTTGATAAATCAATGATCAAGTCAAGAATAGAACTAAACCACCTCTCTACTCCTTTACATATAGTTCTATCAGTGATAATTTTATAAATTCCATTATTTGACTAAGAAATCGAAAGGATTTTTAAAGTCTTCATTATGGCATAGTTTTGGGATTTAATTTAGGTAACCATCATCTTCTATAGCTTAAATGCATTTCTTATTCTTACCATTGCGTTAATTTCTCTCAAAACGATTAATTCGAAAAAATTATTATATATATCAAATATTAATTTGCCATGCAAATGAAAGTAGCAACAACTATCATAATATTGATTAAACATTTTTATTTATAGTAAGTTCAATAGATATGGTGGAATATAAGTCAAGGTGGAACATCAATAGTGACAGAATTAAAACTAGGGATTATTTCCGCATTTGTAATCTTGATGAAGCTTATTATCCTTGTTAACTGTAACTTACCATTCAAAAAATGAAAAAGTGATGGTATGGTAGCAACTTTTATTTTTTTTTTTTGTGTTAGCAACCCGATTCACTTTTTTTTATTATTTGTAGTGTAGATAACAAATATTCAATATTTTTTTTTTAACCGTGGCAATTTTTTATAACTTGTGCGGCATAATATTTTTTATTACAATCTTATTTGATTATTCCTATGGTTACAAATTATAGTCTACTTGTTCATTTCGCTTTTCAAATGAACTTATGACTTAGCTAAATGAAATGACTATTACTATTCTTAATGCAGGTATAATTTAATGATTTATTATAAATAATTCGATAAAAAAGTTCTTTTTAAACTTTGCATTAACGTGAAAATATTTTATAAGTATTGATGAGATATATGGGCAAAATGAATCATTAACTACCAGCATAAATAATATTTAATTTAAAACTGTTTTACAGTAGTTAAAATCATGTGCAAGAATTTTTCGCTTTTAAAAGTAAGTAACACGTGATATGTATCCAGAACAATTACGTTGTTATGTGATTGTTGTATGACGTTAATATAAATAATACTTAATGATGACGCTTATTTCGATACAAAAATTATCTTTTCGTTGACTGAAAGTATTGCAGTGAGTTTTCTGAATACATGGCATTTTTTTTCTTTTTTTCTTTAATGTCTTTTCCTAGATATTGTCCGTTCTTAGAACTAAAGTGACACTATGTAATTGTTTTTCATGATTATTATTTCTTTGACATGAAATCTAATTTTTGTAATTGTTATTATTAAATTCCTGAACAGGCTGTTCGTTGGATTTCAAAGTTATCTTAAATCTTGGAAGAAATACCATTTTTAGAACTGAATTTCATTTTCATTGCAAGTGGTCGTGATTCTAGGTTGAAGTACGATTTCATAGAAAGTGTTCTTTGGCCCCGAAATCTATCGATCCCATCAAGTGGTCGTGATCCTTGAATAATTTCTATCGATCCTTGGAAGAAGTTTGAAGAAGTTCAACCCTGTAAATGAGTCGTGGCCCATAGAAGAAATCCATCGATCCCATCAAGTGGTCGTGATTCTTGAATAATTTCTATCGATCCTTGAAGAAGTTCGTTTCCGTCAAAGCGTCGTAGCCCTTCGAAGAAATCCATCGATCCCATCAAATGGTTGAAAATTTCTATCGATCCTTGAAGAAGTTCGTTTCCGTCAAAGCGTCGTAGCCCTTCGAAGAAATCCATCGATCCCATCAAATGGTCGTGATACTTGAAAAATTTCTATCGATCCTTGAAGAAGTTAGATTCCGTCAAAACGTCGCATTCCTTAGAAGAAATCCATTGATCCTATCAAGTGGTCGTGATCCTTGAAAGATTTCTATCGAGAAGTTATAAACCTTCGTGGCACTTTGAAGAAATCCATCAAATGGTCGTAATGGTCGTGATCCTTTGAATAGATAGTTCGATCCGTAAAAACGTCGTAGCCCTTGGAAGAAATCCATCGATCCCATCAAGTGGTCGTGATTCTTGAATAATTCCTATCGGTCCTTGAAGAAGTTCGTTTCCGTCAAAACGTCGTAGCCCTTGGAAGAAATCCATCGATCCCATCAAGTGGTCTTGATTCTTGGAAGGTCCCATCAAGTGTTGTGATTCACGGTTGGAGTTCAGTCCCGTCATTTGGTTATAATTTTTTTAAAAAAAAAAAGCGTTTCTAACAAAATTCACCTCTTTTACGTTGTTTAAATGTTTTATATGGCCTTTCTTCCGAGGTTTCTGCCAGCGATGTTCATGCGTTGAAATAAACTTCCTTTTGTTCATATCCTCTTGGTATGTTTAATAATTTATATGGTTTTCTTATTCTTCTAAACTCTTTTTAATATAATTATTTCTTTGTTTTCAGAATAATTTTATACATATTTATCCTTAACTCAAAAATTTTACAAATTCTTTTATGTTATCTTTAACGTTTTAGATGGATTCCTTCAGTTTGAAAGCGAACTGATTGATCCAATTTAGGGTGATAGTTAAAGAATAATTTTCTTCCAGCTGAGCAAAAGTGCTGAAAATTATTCTTTGATCTCTTTTCAGTTTTGAGGCAAATGTTTGAGGTTACTGGAAATTGATCTTAATTTTTGGGTTGCGATTGGTATTGACGTCCTCGTCGTGCATCCTGGGTATTAGTATTATACTAATAGCGAACAAATACCAAATCTTTTTGACATTATGTAATTTTATAGAATAGGGCACGAATTTTTATCAAAATTATCAAATAAAATTCAAAAATAAAATATGTATTAGGTGGTACGTAGCTTTTATGAAACAATCCTTACCTAACACACGCTTACTCCAACCACGCGTTTAACTACACGTAAGTGATAGTAGTGTCGGCGTCAAAGAAAAGATGTTGTGACATCACGTGATGACATATAAAGTTATCAGATGGTATGTGGCTCAATGTAGCTTTTTCCTGTATAATATGTGCATGTAGTCACAAACAACGAATTAACGAATATTTATGCATCGTGAGCTCAGGCCTGATTTGTTCAAACGCTTTAACTGATTTAAATTTGATCTATTTTTGTAATTTATTTTTTCCTTAAATACGAATCAATAATTAAATAACCATTCAAGGGATATAGTTTATTTTAATTTAATTCCAATTAACCATAAAGAATTTGGTTACGCGTAATTTGCTTGCGATGATATTTAAGTTATAATAATTTAAAACTAAAATGTAGGCTTGGCTAACTATTTTCTCAATATAATAATTTAATTTTTCACCCTTTTGCAATGTCAAAATTCCTATGAAGTCGCGACACTTGAAGACTTGATCCCAAATTATAAATGGTACTTAACGTTACCATATGATCCTTCTAATTGTGAAAGTTTTTGATCTCAAAAAATTTTGCTCTAATATTTTTT